CCCAACAATAACTCGAATAGGATTGCCTATAGCGGAAAAAAAAACAATTATATTCTTTATCACTTATTGAGAGGATTATTTCTCAATTACTCCAAATCTAGAAAAAATTAATCTCAAGTTCAAATTTAAGTATATCTTTATTTCACCTGAAAAAAGGAGGGAACAGTCATCATTGGTTGGCCAAAAAATAAAATCATCATTGGTAAATAAATTGATTCATTGAAGGGGGAGAAAACCTTCGAATTTGTTTTATTTTGGCATGCTGTAGGGTAACGCTCCCGTTTTTATTATAAATCACTTTTAGGAAGAAAAATTTTATCCTAAATATAAATCACTTATAAAATACATAATTTAAGCAATGCTAATTATTTTCTAATTTTGTCTTCATTTAATTCTCATTAAAAAAAAGGAAAAAAAATGTGAGAATAATGTGCATAGAAAGAAAATCTTCGTCCCCATCTCAACATCATCTTCATCAACTGACAAAGGGAACCCCCCGTCATTCCCATTGACGCCTCAAATGCGGCGTCATCTTCATCCCAATTCATATATCATTTTTAAGATTGGCATGTCCTAGCATTTAATTCTAATTAATATAAACTTTTTTGGTAAATCTTACTCTTCTGATTTTATTTATAAAGTAGAGAAAACATATATTTTTTACTCTTATCTATAGAATACTGAGAGAAATTTTTTATATAGAGATACAATTTTATCCTTCATTTATTATTGTGTTGATTTTGTTTACATAAGTTATAATGTATATTTAATAGGGATAAAGTTAAAAAGTTAATGAATTTTAAATAAAAATTACTAAAATTTAAATTTTTTAAATTTATGTGAAACATATAAAAAATAACTTATAAATAAGATCGGATGAGTATTTGCTAACAAGGGCTTCAGTGGGATTTCACGTTAGGTATAGAAGGAATACAAACACCACAATGAATTGGATCTTATCTTTCAATAGATCGTTTCCACACCTAAGACAAAGTTGCTCCCACTTGGGTTCTCCATCGGGTTTTCTCGCCCTCCGTCCAACCTCTAGCCGGTTGTATTTATTTATTTAAGTGTTTATAAATATTTTTAAATCTTATAATCCACGTTCCATCGAGTCAACAATTTTTTTTTTAACAGAAAAAGTCAAATCAGTCTACCATGTCACTTGCCTCTGTGGAAGTGTTTTAAAAAGATTGCCCATATGTCATGATTTTTTAACAGACATTTGGCCATTTGGGCACAACTAAGTATGGATAAAATTGCATCATAAATAATACTACATCTGTTTTTTAACATAAGACTCAGTTGAATAATTTAAAAATATTAAGAAAGCTAAATAAATTAATTAATTAGAATATATATTGCATGAACTACTTATATGTATCATTATATTATATATAAATTTATAACTAAATAAAATAAAATACTGTAAAATAATTTATTTATCTTCTTTAATCTTTTCAAATTAGTTAATTGAATATTTTATTAAGTATAAAGAAAGTATTATGATGCTATTTTACCCTTCAATTTTTCTAATGATGTGGGGGGTTGATGACATATAAATATATATATATTTAGATATGAGTAAAATATATTGATTACCCCTCTATTTTACTTAAATTATAGAAACCTCCCTTCTATTTTGAAAACATATATAAACTTCCCTTCAAATTAAAATGTATGTTACACAAACCTTCCTTATATTTTTAAAATTCAATTTCCATCCATCCAACCGTTTGTTGACTGTTAAGTTTGATTTTTAAATTTTTATTTTGTTCAAAATATCCCTCTTTAACATAAATGTTATTTATACATTTATATCTTTAAAAAAAATAATTTTTGATACAACAAAAAATAATTATAATACATGTATTTTCAAAATTTTTAATATTTTATAAAAATTTTAATTTTAATTATAGTATAGAATTATATAATTTTAGTTCCTCATAAAATATTGAAAATTAAGATTTTTTTAAATGACTAGAAAATATTTTGAATGCTTATTTTCTTATCACATAATATAAATTATGCGAGTTTGAAAACTTATATAAACCATTTAAATTTATGTTTGCATGAACTAAATTACTTAATTTTTGGCCTAATACAATAAAAAAATTAAACAAACAACAATTTTCAAAAATAAAATAAATAAAATTAAGGTGAAGGAGAAAATTTTAAATTCTTCGATATAGTTTTAACCAAGATTTTGGGATTTAGGATTATGAATGGTAATTTAGCAAATAGAAAGTATTTCAATATAAATTTGAATTTAAAAAAATATCTTTTTAAAATATTCTTAACGGAGTTAATGGTTTAGATTTAAGTGTATGTTTTCAAGATAGAGAGGAGGTCTGTGTAATTAAGACAAAATACAAAAGAGGTTATAGTATTTTACTCTTTAGATATTAATTGCTGAGTTGTGTTTGAAATTTTCATTAACTTCACAAAAGTAAAACAATGAAATGGTCGTAAGCATCATAACAAGCTCTTGATTTGCTTGGATTTGATTTCAGTTCCTTGGGATGATACACTTGAAAGTAATATTTATTTAGGAAAAAAAGGTTTTACAATACATAGAGAGTTGAAATGAGATTTTTATTTATTTTGATATTTTTTAATTATAAGTTGACCTATAATTTAATTTTTCACTTGCTTGCGGAAATTGACACCTTTAGGTGCGGCATTCACATGGTCGACCCTAAAATAAGAGACTTTTGTGAATAAATTAAGAGTCCTTTGTTTGGACTTTGGAGCAAAATTCATTTTCATTTAAGTCCATCTCTATATATATGAATTAAATTTCTAATAAGCTAACTCTTTGTAATGTATTAACAATGTAATTTGATCATTCTTAATAATAAAACTCATAAAATGATTAAATATTATGAAGATATTATATCATTCATTTTTTGTTTACGTTTATTTCCATCTTAAGTTTTAGATTAACTCTTGGACAAAATTTCAATTAAATAAATGTATACAATATTTTAACAACCAAATTTAACTAAAATTTAAGGAAATAATTGTATAAAATATTTTAGCAACCAACTTTTCAATTTTAGATATAACCTCAGTCCTAAGAACATTTTTGGAAAAAAAATAATTATAACATGATAGATTTTCAAATAATCAACTTAGGGATAGCTAGGTTTGAGAATTTATTAATATTAATATTAATTTTCTTAAAATAAATATATATATATGATTTTTCAATCATAAATTATTATAATCACGGTTTCTTCCACATAAAGAAATTTAAATTGATCATAGGAACAAATAAATAATCCATACTTAATCTAGGTGCACTGGGCCTAGTTTTCGAGCCCCAAGCCCACAATTTAGTGAAGAATTTTGATTTTAGGCTTGGACTTTTTATAACAAAAATGCGGCCCATATCAATTAACTTGTTAGTCAACCATCTTTTAAGGGGAAAAAAATAAATATCTACACTAAAAAATAACAAAATAGTACATTTATATTGAAAATTCAATAAAGTGACTTATAAACATGAGTAAAAAGCCCTTCTCTCTCTACCTTATAAATAGAGCTAGGATTATATGTTAGAGAATCGATGGCAAAACCAAAATACATACCAGGGAATTACTCACTCTGCTCCTTATTATGAGTTTTAAATAACCAACTTACGTATAACAAATAATTAGTTAAAATTATTTTAAAATAATAAATAAATTAAAAATATATTTTGTTTTCAAATATGCTCTTATAATAAATGAGAAAAAAAGATGAAAGAGAATATGTGGGGAAATATAAAATAGAGAAATAATTATGGATAACATTAAAAAAAATATCAAATGTTAAGACAAACCCTAAATTGAAGCTTATAAAATAGATCACACTCTTTCATAAATTTGAAACTTATAAATAGAAGCCGGGGAGTATTAGGTAAATGCAAATAATCCTGTGTTATGAGGGTTCAGTTTCAAGATTAGAACTGATCAAATTAAAAATTAAACAATTCATATTTAATCTATTTTTTTTTATAATTTAATGTTTTAATATATGTAAAGTCTAAAATAAAAATTATGTCCTAGATGTCAGATTTTAAGAATTATTTTCTTGCTTAAAAACCATCCATTAACAATTTTAAATGTAGACCGTTACTGCAAAGATTATCATAATATTGGTCATAAAATCGATTCCTAGTACAAGCCATTTTGACAAAAGTTGTGGGCGGGTAGTTGAGCCATCAAAAGGCCAATAACTTGGCTCCCAAATTAGCTTTTTTTTTTTAGTCTCTTTTTATTTTAATTTTTAATTTTTTGTTTTCAATAAGCACCATCCCAAGCTGTGGATTTTCTTGCTTTAGTAAATTTACTTTCACCAGAACTAGAGTAACACATTCTAAACTTTATTAAATGATAAAATGTATGCCTATTGCTTTCATATCTCTCTACCTTAGCATACCATTATTGTTCAAACTAATCCTTCATGCTCTCTGAAATTGGCGTCTCCAAACAACAGCTTGATAGGAGTCATTCCCATGACCTTGACTACTTCTAATTCACCGCAAGTCCTGTGGGTGTTTCTGCTAAACTTCAATGATCTTATGCACATGTAGAAATTAGGTTATATACATGTGTGTGTGTATATAATGATGAATTGTAAGCGCATAGTCATTAATGAGCGAGAGCATATCAAAATTCTACTAATCACTCTATTCCACTTACCAGTTTTAGGCAACAATGTTACTGGAGCTATTATTGCTCTAAATGTTTATTAATAGAAGAGAAGACAAAAAGATTATTTCTTTGATGTTCTTGGTAATAAGTTGAATAATAGAAAAGATGCTATATATAATAATTGATGATTTATGTGATAGCCACGATTGATTTACTAATATTTTGCCTTTTTACTGGCAGCTGATATGAGGAGGACCTTGAAACTCACTTTGGTCAACTTGAAAAGTTTTAAGTTGCAAAAGATAAGTTTAGTAACGAAAACATTATGAGAGGCAGGTTTGGTGAGGTTGCTTCTATGTATGCATTTCTTATAATTCAATTTTGATACCTTATTATTTAAACAGAATAAGACAAATATCAACTGCAACAAATTAAACATATGGCATATTTTAAATCTAGACTTTGAAGCAAGTCGTTAAAAGTTTCATATGAGGTACAAAGCAAACAATGAGCCAAATCTCCAAGCTTTTTATTACATTATTGGCATATCTTCATTTGCTAAATGTTGGATTGAGATATTATTGAAAGGAATTGCTAATGGAAGGCTGGAAGATAAAAGCCTTCGAGACACCTGTTGCATTGATGGTCGAGATTTGGGAGATGGGTTCAAGCATGCTAATGCTATTGTCACCAAAAGAGTTATATCTCTTGCATCTTTCTGTGATGGCAAAGGGAGACGTGAGTCTAGAATATCCTTAAGCAAAATGCTTTCTGTACAGGTCTTTGACAAAGATAATATCAAATCTCCAGGATGTCTTCCCATAATTGTTTCTAATGTCACCACCCCAAAACTATAAACATCGCATTTTTCAGTAACAACTAAGGTGTATGCAAGCTCTGCAATGGGCCAAAAATTAAATAATTATGTATTTATCCCAAGACAAGCAATATACTATAGAAATAAAATACAACATAGAAGGAGCAGTAGTAGAGAATTAGAAAAGCCCACCTGGAGCAACATAACCATAAGTACCAACTAAAAGAGTCTGATTAGATGTATTTGGATCAATGATCCTAGCTGTGCCAAAGTCTGATAAAAAAGCTTCCATCTTTGAGTTCAACAATATATTATTGCTTGTTATGTCTCGGTGGATAATTGAAGGAGCACAGTGATGATGCATATACAACAAAGCATTTGTTATTCCTTTAATGGCATTCACTCTCTTACTCCAATTCAACTCTTTAGCTTCATCATCATAATTCAACACATAAAAAAGGCTTCCTCTTTCCATGTATTCATATATGAGAAACATGCATTGATTATGTAAACAAAAACCATGAAGCTTTACAATATTGCGATGTCGAATTTCACTCAACATCTTCACTTCATTGTGAAAACTCTTGGCCAAAAATGTGTTTCCATATTCTCTTCTATGGAGTTTTTTCAATGCTATGATTTTGCCACTTGGAAGTTGTGCCCTATAAACACTTCCATAAGCACCGGTTCCGATACAATATTTGATGTCAAAGTCCTCTGTTGCTTCAATGATATCTTCATATGCAATTTTTCTATCATAATTCCATATGGAAAACAAATCCCCATTTTTTGCTTCTCTTGCCTTACTTATGGATTTTTTGTGCTTTTTGAATGATTCAAATAAGATAAAACCCACAACAAATGTGATGACAAGAAAAACTGTCAAAGGAATAATGATTTTCAGCCAAGACTTTGAGCCTTTATGTATCTTCTCTGGCGTAAGTAATTCTCTATTACCATTTAAAATGTCATGAGGAAAAGAGCTATAAACTTCACTTGGAACATAGCCACTAAGAAGATTGTATGACAAGTTGATGTATTGTAGCCTACCAAATTCTCCAGGTATGCTACCAGAGATACTGTTGTAGCTTAAGTCAATGCTACATGTTGGTGGCTCATTGCATATATTAGACGATAATATTCCATTGAATTTGTTGTGACTAAAGTTAACATCAACATCTAAGTAGTTCAAAATGTCCGGTACGTTTCCACTCAGATTATTTTGGGAGACATTTATGTGAACGCCAATACTGAAATTTCCTAATTTTTCTGGAATGCCACCACTTAATTGATTTTGAGAAACATCAAAATCTTCTAAATATCTCAAATCGAAAATTGAAGAAGGGATGCCACCTGTAGTGAATAAATTTGAGTATAAATATAAGTTGTGGAGATCTGCCATAAAACCTGAAGTTTAAAGAATGACCCCAACTATTTTTTTGTTTCTACTCAAATCTAGTGATTCTAAATAAAGTTGAGAAGGTTGGAAGGTAGAACACCTGAAAGGTTGTTGCAAGACAAGTCCAAATAATTGAGATTTTGAAGGCCTCCTATATGAGTTGGAATGATACCTGTCACCATTCCATGAAAATATAAATACAATATTTTTTTATATTATGAGTTGGGAAAGGTAGAAGGTAGGGCACCTGTAAGGTTGTTGCAAGACAAGTCCAAATAATTGAGATTTTGAAGACCTCTTATGTGAGTTGGAATGGTACCTGTCACCATTATATGAAAATTCGAATATAATATTTTTTTTATAACATAGTGAATAAATGTGTGCACAAATGTAAGTCTTTTATAGTTGTCATACACCCAGTACTGAACGAACGACTCCAATTAGATTGTTTCTATTCAAATTGAGTAATCTTAAATAATTAAGGTTAGTGGAAGTAAGTAAAATTATTGCAAGACAAGTGTAAATATTGGATGAATGAATGAAGGGTTCTAATTTAAATTAAAGTTGTACCTGTTATCCCCATTCTAGAAAGATTTAAGTATTTTAGTCTTTCTAATTCAGTGAAGTTGAGATCTGCTAGCTGAGGATGCTGTGAATAGATTCTTGGTCGGTTAATTAAGATAACTCTTCCTAAGCCATCGCATGATATGCCATCCCAGTCACAATAGTAGTGGGAGCCACCATTTGCTTTGAAGCAATGCATGCTCATTCCCCACGGTCATGGCAGTTGTGATATTATAGCCATGTGTTTGAATAACAAAAGCTTACACCATCACTTTAGAAGTTTCACTGAAGGAGTTTCCATTACAACCAAAAGCTTGTTTCTTTATTATTGTGGTTAATTCATAAAGCATTCAGCATATTATTCTCTTTTTCTTATTACATTGGGAGAATTACAATCAAGTCTTAAGGAAGAAAAATAATTACAAAATAAGTTCTAAAAATTGTCATTGTGTATTTTGGCACTTGTCTTTATAGGCTGCTGAGGTTGTTATTGTTTTAGTAATTATTTCTCTTCCTTAGAGCTTGATTGTAATTCTCCCTATTATGTTTGAATTGTTTGTATCATAAAGCTTAAAAGTGACTTCGTAATGCTATAGTTTTTTTTTTTTTTAGCTCAAAACATATGCTAGGTATTTTGATCATTTAAAACATGTCTTCAATGTAATATTTCATTTTTCCTTTTTTTTAATTTAGATAAGGATGAGAAGTAACTCACTTGAAACAATATTGTTGTAAGACAAGTTTAGATATGTGAGTTGTGGAAGATCTTCTATTTGAGTTGGAACTGGATCTGTCAAAATCAAAACACATTCCTTTTAATTGCAAATGTATGTCTTAGGTTATTTTTGATCAAATAAAAAGTTGTTATGAAACAAGTTCAAATAATTGAGATTTTGAAGAGCTCCTATCTGCGTTGGAATGGTACCTGGTAATAACCTATTTTATTAAGTCATAAAGGTAAATATAACAGTTTTAAATTGAGTGAATTTGTAAGGTATAGTATAAGGCACATAAATTACTAGTAAGATTGTTGTAAGATAAGTTCAGATTTATGAGATTAAGAAGAACTCCAATCTGAGTTGGAATGGTACTTATCAACTCTATTCCATGATTATTAGGCTATATACTACTAGTTCTTTTGTGATGCAATAAATAAACTTGTGTACAAAAACAAGTCTTTAATATTTTTCGTAAAATACAAAGTTGAATGAACGGGTCCAACTGGATTGTTTCCATTCATATTGAGCAACTTTAAATGAGTAAGGTTGGCAAGAGTGTAATGTAAGTAAGATTATTATAAGACATTAGATGAATGAACGAATGAATAAAGAGCTTCGCTTAAAATCAGAGTGGTACCTGTTAACCTCATTCTAGAAAGATATAAATATTTTAGTTTTTGTAATGTGGTGAAGTTAAGATCTACTAGCCGAGGTTGCTGTGAATGGATTCTTAGTTGTTCTATTGAAATTACATTTCCAAAGACATTGCAAGATATGCTATCCCAGTCACAAGGGTAGTCGAAGCCATTATTGTAGATTATCGTCAGTTGAATAAGGTCACAATTAAGAATAAGTATCCCCTTCCAAGAATTGATGACTTGCTTGATCAGCTTGTAGGTTCTTCTGTGTTCTCCAAAACTGATTTAAGGTCTAACTATCATCAGTTAAGGATCAGGGTAGAGGACATTCCCAAGACCACTTTCAAACTCGTTATGGTCACTATGAGTTTCTAGTGATGCCTTTTGGGTTAACAAACACCCTAGCGGTGTTTAGGACTATATGAATAGAATTTGCAGGCCTTATTTAGATCAGTTTGTTGTAGTTTTCATTGATGATATCTCATGTACTCAAAAAGTGAGGAGGAGAATCGTAAACACCTTCATATTGTATTACAAATATAAAGAGAGAACAAGTTGTATGCCAACTTGAGCAAGTGTGAGTTTTTGTTAAAGGAGGTAAAGTTTTTAGGTCATGTGGTATCTGCCAAAGGTGTGGTCGTGGATCCAAGTAAAGTAGAGGCAATGTTAAAATGGGAAACTCCCAAGTTTGTGACTGAAGTAAGAAGCTTTGTGGGGTAATCAGGTATTACCGCCATTTCATTAAAAGCTTTTCTCAAATAGCCATGCCACTAACTAACCTGATGAAGAAGGACAAACCTCTTGTATGGACAAAAAAGTGTGAAGCTGCATTTCAAGAGTTGAAAACGAAGTTGACCATGACACCTGTTCTCACTATACCTGAACCATCACTATTGTATACGGTGTACACAGATGCATCTTTGAAAGGTTTGGGCAGTGTATTGATGCAAGATAATAGGGTAGTAGCTTATGCATTCGGACAATTGAGACCTCATGAGGAAAATTACCACACCTATGACTTGAAACTAGTAGCAATTGTGTTTGCCTTAAAGATTTGGAGACACTATCTTTATGGTGTGTAGTGTGAGATTTTCAGTGACCATAAAAGCTTAAAGGACCTGGTAGATCAAAAAGAGTTAAATAATCGTCAATGAAGAGGGATGGAATTCTTAGCGGATTATGATTTTGAATAGAATACCATCCAGGGAAGGCTAATATGGTGGCTAGTGTATTGGGTAGAAAGACAATTCATGTTTTCTATATGAGTATGACAGAGCATCACTTGCTAGAGGAGCTAATAGAAATACCAATTATGGCTAAGATAATGGAGATTATTGTTACTTTAAATGGAGTACTTGGGGACTTTGACTTTTTTAAAGAGTTGAAGATAGCCCAAATGAAAGATGATGAATTAATAAGGGTAAGAGAAGAACTAGAAAATGGAGCTGTATCGGATTATGACATTGAAGACGAAGGAATCTTAAGGTCCAAGAGAAGGATTTGTGTTCCAGATAATAAAAAAATAAAAAAGACAATTCTTGAGGAGGCACATAGAACTAAGTACACCATTCACCCTGGAATAACCAAGATGTACCATGATCTAAAGCAAGAGTATTGGTGGCCAGGGATAAAGTGTGATATGACTAATTTGGTACTCAAGGGTTTGACTTGTCAGAAAGTCAAAATTGAACACCAACAGCCACCGAGTTTAATCCAAAACTTGGAAATCTCTAAGTGAAAATAGGATATCATTTTAATGGACTTTATCATTGTAGATAGACTAACAAAGTCATCCTACTTTCTCCCAATCAAGTCTACTTATTCTATGGAAAAACTCGCTCAATTGTACGTAGATGAGATTATGAGATTGCATGAGATACCAAAAGATATCATATCAGATTGAGATATGCAAGGAGCCTTTCACACAGAGTTGAAGTTCAGTACGGCGTATCATCCCCAAACTGATGGTCAAACTGAGAGAACCATCCAACTCTCGAGGATATGTTGAGGGCTTGTGCCATTGAATTTTTGGGTAGTTGGGATCATCATGTTCCACTAGCAGAATTCGCCTATAATAATAGCTATCATGCGAGCATCAGATGGCACCTTATGAAGCATTGTATGGAAGAAAGTGTAAATCACCACTGTGTTGGATTGAATTGAGTGATAGAACTATTGTTGGCCCTGGCTTTGTGGATGCAACCATAAAAAAAATTGAATTAATCAAAGTTGATGACCGCTCAGAGTCTCTAGAAGAGTTATGCAAATTGACGGAGGCCTTTGAAATTTGAATTGGGTGACTATGTGTTTTTGAAAGTTTCACTAGTGACTGGTATTAGTAGATCTATTAAGGCCAAGAAGCTGACTCCTCGATATCTTGGACCTTATGAGATTTTAGAGTGAATTGGACCGATCACTTATCGAATTGCTTTACCACCGCATCTCTCTGATGAGCACAATGTCTTTCATGTGTCACAACTCAAGAAGTATCATCCAGATCTATCTCATGTGATCGAGACTGAGGAGATTGAGTTATAAGAGAATCTTACCTTTCAAGCTAAGCTCAAATGTATTCTAGATGTTAAGGATAAGCAACTTTGGAATAAAACAATCCAGTTACTTCAAGTTTTCTAGAAAGACATGTCTCGTGGTGATGCCCCTTGGGAAACGGAGGAGCGAATGTGACATGATTATCCACATCTGTTTTCTTAAGTATGTGTTGATGTGCTGATTATGTACTATCTTGTGTGTTGATAGTATGTGTGTAGTGATATTGTCTATTTCTTTAATGTTGTTATGTTGCTATATTTCTTACATGTCACAAATTTTAAAGACAAAATTCTATTTAGAAAGGGAGAGCTTAACATCCTAAATGTTTTTTTGGTATTAAAAAAATTATTATGATTTCAAAATAATAATAATTAAATCATATAAAATAATAATATTTTATTATTATAAATAATAATACTTTATTAAAAAAAGAGAAAAAGTAAAATAAAAAAAACACGCACTTTCCACCAAATTCGATGGAAAAGGCAAGAACATTTAAGAAGAAGAAGAAAAATAGAGGAGGTTAATAAATAAAGAAATAAAAATAGGATGAGACAGTTGAGTGGGAAGGATAAATAAGAGGAGGGAGTGTTAGGCAGAGAAGAGAAGAGAAAGAGAGGGAGAGAACGAGACTCAGAGAAAGAGAGGAAGAGAGAGAAGCAGAGAAACATTAACATTTTGAAGAGTAATACAAGCTTTGTGGATTATTTAGGTACATAAATGTACTTCTTTTTATTAAATTTTCTTTTTGAATATTTTTTATATATTTAGAGCTTTATATTAGTAGTATCATTATAATGTTTAGAGAAAATTTTAGGATTTAGGTATGAAGTAAGTATTGAGTTTTGACAATAGATGACCATAGAAATTTAGAGGTAAATAAGTAGTTAATTTTAATCAGTCCATATTTGTCCATTTATTACTTTTGGTATTTGAAATCAAATTTATTTTGTTGAAAAATTTGTCATTTATGATATATATCATATTTATACCAATTACAATTAAGTTAAATAATTTATTTGATTTGTTTGATATATTATTGAAATTTTAATCAGTTTATATTTATTCATTGATTGTTTTAAAAATTTTACACTAAGATTTTAGTTGAAAAATGTATTATTGAAGAGATATAGAATGTTTTTACCAATTAAATTTAAATTAAATAACTTATTTGGGTTATTTAATATATTATTGAGATTTTGATTGGCTTAAAATATGAAATAGGTTAAGGATGTATTATTGGAAAAGATTTTTAAGCTAGAAACTTAAGTTATAAATTAAAATTTTACATAATTAAATAAAATCAATATTTATTTGTAATTTAAATGAGTTATTTGGGTAAAGAAAAATTGTTATTTGAAGTAAGAATTTTTTAGTAGTAAATATATGTATATATTAATAATAATAAATCCTATGTAATTTAAGTTATTTATTTGTATGTATATTAAATTGTATCTACATTATTTGTAGATCATTATTTGTATATTACTTTATATTTTGGAGTCTGTAATTTGTACTTTTCTTTCTCAAGCTGTGAGTTAAGTAGAGGTAACCAAGGTTAATTTATTTTATATAAATGCTTTGAATTGTAAGGTGTTTACTACATTTTTATTTTCTCAAATAAATTTGTGAAAGTATGTCTATGAATAAAGTATGTTTTTTTTTACATGACAAATTTTGATAAATTGGAGAGTATGTCGATTTAATTATGCCTGAATTGTATTTTATTGAGAATTATGTTTTTTTGTGATAAACTGATACTAAATTTGATATACTGATATTATATTATTAAATAAAATGAAAATATGTTGTACTTTGTTTGAAACTATATCATCTTACTTCGCAGAACTATGATATTTTTAATTTATATTGTGACTAAGCAAAGGGTTCATATATGGAGGTTGGGATTTTGTTATGTAGGGGATAATTGTTCTTGAAGCCCGCGTGGTATGCATACACTACTAATCATACTGTTTGGTCTTTTTGTCAGACCCATATAGTTCTTCCTTTTTCTTGGCCCGAAGTTGAGAAAGAGCTCTTGGGTAGACACCTCTTGCACCATAGTCCATTCTTGAGTTGTGTAGGTGCAAGAGGGATCCGTTGCTTGATGTGAGTGGGGTGATCTTTAGCCAGGTTACTTAGCACAAAAAGCCCAGAACCATGTCAAGGAGCCATAAGGAGAAGTATGGTGATGGGAGGCATATTTTATTGTGTTGTTGCATATGTGTACTTTTGCATGAAGTATGCCATGGTTATCATCAAAAAAATGGTTTTATAATTATGTATTAAGAAGGGGTCATTTCAAATATAGCATTTTTAAATTGGAGTAAATTTGCAAGAGTAGAAATGGAAGATATAACACACCAGTAAGACTATTAGAAGACAAGTCCAAATAAGTAAGATTTTGAAGAGCTCCTATTTGGGATGAAATAATCCTTGTCAATAAAGATATTAGGTTGTGTGGAGGTAAATACAATATTTCAAAATTTAGTGAATTTGCAAGGCAATAGTAGAAATGAAAGATATCTAACTCACCAGTAAGACTGTTATAAGACAAGTCCAGATAAGTGAGATTTTGAAGATATCCTATCTGTGACGGAATGATCCCTGTCAATAGATGTATTAGGTTGTGTGGGGGTAAATATAATATTTCCAAATTGAGTGAATTTACAAGGTAAGAGTAGAAATGAATGATATATAACTCATAAGTAAGATTGTTAGAAGATAAGTATAGATGAATCAGATTATAAAGAGATCCTATCTGTGATGGAATGATTCTTGTCAATAAAAGTATTAGGTTGTGTGGAGATACATTTGATATTTCAAAATTGAGTGAATTTATAAGATAAGAGTAGAAATGAAAGATATATAACTCATGAGTAAAATTGTTAGAAGATAAGTATAGATGAATATGATTATGAAGAGATCATATCTATGATGGAATGATCCCTGTCAATGGAGGTATTAAGTTGTGTGGGGGTAAATATGATATGTCCAAATTGAGTGAATTTACAAGGTAAGAGTGGAAATGAAAGATATATAACTCATAAGTAAGATTGTTAGAAGATAAGTATTGATGAATCAGATTATCAAGAGATCCTATCTGTGATGGAATGATCCTTGTCAGTAAAAGTATTAGGTTGTGTCGAGATAAATATAATATTTCCAAATTGAGTGAATTTACTAGATAAGAGTAGAAATGAAAGATATGTAACTCATAAGTAAAATTGTTAGAAGATAAGTATCGATGAATATGATTATGAAGAGATCCTATCTGTGGTGGAATGATCCTTGTCAATAAAAGTATTAGGTTGTGTGGAGATAAATATAATACTTCAAAACTGAACGAATTTGCAAGGTAAGAGCAGAAATAGAAGATACGTGACTCACCAGTAAGACTATTGTCAAACAACTCCAAATAAATGAGCTTTTGAAGAGCTCCTATTTGGGATGGAATAATCCCTGTCAATAGAAGTATTAGGTTGTGTGGAGATAAACACGATATTTCAAAATTTAGTGACTTTCAAAGGTAAGAGCAGAAATAGAAGATACGTGACTCACCAGTAAGACTGTTGGAATACAAGCGTAGTTCAATCAGATTATGCAGAGATCCTATCTGTGATGGAATGCTCCCTGTCAATAGAGGTATTAGGTTGTGGGAAGATAAGTACAATGTTCAAAAATTTACTTAATTTGCAAGCTAAGAGTAGAAATGGAAGATATATAACTCATCAGTAAGACTGTTAGAAGATAAGTCCAGATAAGTGAGATTTTGAAGAGCTCCTATTTGGGATGGAATAATCCCAGTCAATAGAAGTATTAGGTTGTGTGGAGATAAATACAATATTTCAAAATTTAGTGACTTTCCAAGGTAAGAGCAGAAATGGAAGATATGTAACTCAATAGTAAGACTGTTAGAATACAAGCGTAGTTCAATCAGATTATGCAGAGATCCTACCTGTGATGGAATGGTCCCTATCCATAGAGGTATTAAGTTGTGGGGAGATAAATACAATATTCAAAAATTTACTTAATTTGCAAGCTAAGAGTAGAAATGGAAGATATATAACTCATCAAATAAGTCCAGATAAGTGAGATTTTGAAGAGCTCCTATTTGGGATGGAATCATCCCTGTCAATAGAGGTATTAGGTTGTGTAGGGGTAATTATAATATTTCTAAATTGAGTGAATTTACAAGGTAAGAGTAGAAATGAAATATATATAACTCATAAGTAAGAGTGTTAGAAGATAAGTATAGATGAATCATATTATCAAGAGATCCTATCTGTGATGGAATGATCCTTGTCAATAAAAGTATTAGGTTGTGTTGAGATAAATATAATATTTCCAAATTGAGTGAATTTACAAGATAAGAGTAGAAATGAAAGATATATAACTCATAAGTAAGATTTTTAGAAGATAAGTATAGATGAATATGATCATGAAGAGATCCTATCTGTGATGCAATTATCCCTCTCAATAAAAGTATTAGGTTGTGTGGAGATAAATACAATACTTCAAAATTGAGCGAATTTGCAAGGTAAGAGCAGAAATAGAAAATACATGACTCACCAGAAAGATTGTTGTGAAACAACTGCAAATAAATGAGTTTTTGAAGAGCTCCTATTTGAGATGGAATAATCCCTATCAATAGAAGTATTAGGTTGTGTGGAGGTAAATACAATATTTCAAAATTTAGTGAATTTGCAAGGTAATAGTAGAAATGGAAGATATCTAACTCACCAGTAAGACTGTTATAAGACAAGTCCAGATAAGTGAGATTTTGAAGATATCCTATCTGTGACGGAATGATCCCTGTCAATAGATGTATTAGGTTGTGTGGGGGTAAATATAATATTTCCAAATTGAGTGAATTTACAAGGTAAGAGTAGAAATGAATGATATATAACTCATAAGTAAGATTGTTAGAAGATAAGTATAGATGAATCAGATTATAAAGAGATCCTATTTGTGATGGAATGATTCTTGTCAATAAAAGTATTAGGTTGTGTGGAGATACATTTGATATTTCAAAATTGAGTGAATTTACAAGATAAGAGTAGAAATGAAAGATATATAACTCATGAGTAAAATTGAGTGAATTTACTAGATAAGAGTAGAAATGAAAGATATGTAACTCATAAGTAAAATTGTTAGAAGATAAGTATCGATGAATATGATTATGAAGAGATCCTATCTGTGGTGGAATGATCCTTGTCAATAAAAGTATTAGGTTGTGTGGAGATAAATACAATACTTCAAAACTGAACGAATTTGCAAGGTAAGAGCAGAAATAGAAGATACGTGACTCACCAGTAAGACTGTTGGAATACAAGCGTAGTTCAATCAGATTATGCAGAGATCCTATCTGTGATGGAATGCTCCCTGTCAATAGAGGTATTAGGTTGTGGGAAGATAAGTACAATGTTCAAAAATTTACTTAATTTGCAAGCTAAGAGTAGAAATGGAAGATATATAACTCATCAAGAAGACTGTTAAAAGATAAGTCCAGATAAGTCTAGAAAAGAATAGAAATAGAAGATATATAACTCACCAGTAAGACTGTTAGAAGACAAGTCCAGATAAGTGAGATTTTGAAGATATCCTATCTGTGACGGAATGATCCCTGTCAATAGATGTATTAGGTTGTGTGGGGGTAAATATAATATTTCCAAATTGAGTGAATTTAGAAGGTAAGAATAGAAATGAACGATATATAACTCATAAGTAAGATTGTTAGAAGATAAGTATAGATGAATCAGATTATAAAGAGATACTATCTGTGATGGAATGATCCTTGTCAATAAAAGTATTAGGTTGTGTCGAGATAAATATAATATTTCCAAATTGAGTGAATTTACAAGATAAGAGTAGAAATGAAAGATATATAACTCAGAAGTAAAATTGTTAGAAGATAAGTATAGATGAATATGATTATGAAGAGATCCTATCTGTGGTGGAATGATCCTTGTCAATAAAAGTATTAGGTTGTGTGGAGATAAATACAATACTTCAAAATTGAGTGAATTTGCAAGGTAAGAGCAGAAATAGAAGATACGTGACTCACCAGTAAGACTGTTGTCAAACAAATCCAAATAAGTGAGCTTTTGAAGAGCTCCTATTTGGGATGGAATAATCCCTGTTGATAGAAGTATTAGGTTGTATGGTGGTAAATATAATATTTTTGAATTAAGTTAATTTGCATGGTAAGAGTAAAAGTACAAGATATACAACTCACCAATAAGATTGTTAAAAGATAAGTTTAGATGGATAAGTTTATGAAGAGATCCTATCTGACTTGGAATGGTATCTATCAAACCCATTTGAGAAAGTGTGAGACGTTCTAGATTGGGAAATGCAGTGAAATTGTAATTTGCTAGACGATAGCATTGTGTAGTCATCTGTTGATAATTCATCTCAACAAGGCTTCCAAAATCATTGCAAGATATGCCTTTCCAGTGACAAGGGTCTGACAAGTTGTGGGCTCTGTTGCTAAAATTCCAACATTTGGTCTGAAGCAGAGCATGTTTCTCCTCTTCTATCATGGCAACTGATGCTACACCATTAATGTGGAAGCAAGTTATTACAACAAAGCATAATAAAAATACCGCTCTCATCACACCCATCGTCAGTTTCTTTGTCTACACAAAGCAATCATAAAACGAGTGCATCCGCAGAGTCTCTATATATAGAGCAATATTATTGAATCTCCCTTCGACGTGTCAAAGTCGTTGAAGTGTGTAGGTCCAATGGCAAATCGTCATGTGAGATTGCCTCAGTTGTTAATTAATGGTCTTAGTCAATATTAAAGTCTTTAGTCTTTGGAGTTATTATAGTGAAAATGGGCATGAAATTGCCAAATATGAGATGATGAACATCACAGCATAGTGGTCTGATGGAACTCTAAGTTAAAGAACCCATTATTTTTAACTTTTAGGATTATATTTTGAAAGACAAATCAAATTATGGAAATATACCTTTTCTTACCACTAGTTGCTAGCATGTTTCTCCTTTGCTATCATGGAGGTGGCAATATTATTAAAGAAAGTAATGGCAGGGCATAGTCAGAAAATCACTATTTACTATCACAGTGCTTATTGTTGGAGTGGTCGACATAATTTCGGAGAATGCCACTGATTCATGCAACGTGATCATCAAATGAGTGCAGAGGCTGAGTCTTTATAGAAGCATAAATTTATTTTTCTTAAAAACAAAATTATAACTTTTAAGTGACATATAAAGAAACGTGTTAACTAACTTTGACTATTAAAAATAAAAAAAACAGAAAGTAAATAAAATAAAAGCTTGTTTGATTTTATGCTCAACTTTTATGTTTTAGAACTACTTTTTAGAATAATTTTTGAATACCAAAAATAAAAAAATAAAAGATGTTAGAATCATTATTTCAAAAACCATACATAAAATGGTGAAGTGAAGGGTCAAAACTAGTTTGTTTTATTAACTTGATATAATTAACGGAAATATAATATTCTGCATCTCTTCCCTAATTTTGTAAAACAAAAGGAAGAAAAATAAAAAAAATGTTTTTTGTTTGTTTTAAGAACAAATTTTAATTTTGTTGCGGAAAAGCTTAATAAAAATACCACTATGACGCCCATCTTTTATTTAATTTCTTTCCACAAAGTGATGGTCACAAAATGAGTACAGTCTCAAGAGTCTTTACATAGAGAAATATTGAAATGACAAAGGGCAAAGGCTTATTTCTCTTTCGTATTGTTATGCAATCTTTATTTCTCTTTTGCAATGAAAGTTATGCGCACTTCATTATTCATTCTGGTTATTAATTGATAGGGCATTTATTAGTATTATGATCATCATATTTAAATTATTTACATCATAAATTGTAAAATGACTTTTAGATATTATTTATCACACTTTTGTTTTACTCAAAATGTGTACATTTTTTATCAAAAAAAAAGGGTTAAAGGTTAAAAACACTTATGAAAATATACCAAAACTTTACTTAACACCATGAACTTTTTTTGATCGAATTTACCAATTCAAGTTTGAAAAAGAGATTAATAATGTCAGCGTCGTTAAAATTAACAAACATCCATTTTTTTGTTGTGGACCCACAGTTTTTTTAATAAAAATACCAAAATACCCTCAACTAAAACGGAAAAAAATTTAGAGTCACATGAACTTATACTTAAAGTTGACCAAACACCATATAATATATATAAAAGTATCAAAATATAATCTCGAAAGGCTATTGTATTAGTGTGTTAGAGATTATTAATTATAATAAAATTTTTATAATTAAAATAACTAACATAAAAAAGTTTAAGCTTGAATTGGATTGCTCTTCAATGTTAAGTTATTTATGTCCCCAATCTTTTTTTTTTAGTAGACATTATGGATATCTTTTGAAAATGCTACTTATATCAACGATACATGGAGCTGTGTGTTTATCCTCTAGTCTATGTTATCAAATTTAACAGTGAACCTGAAACTTCTTTTATGTTTATGTTTAAATTCTTTGAGAAAATTTAAGGCTATTTTTAGTAGTTACAAAAATATTTAATTATTATGTATAATATTTATGCTATTAAAATATTTTCAGCCATTAATGAATAGAATAACTATAACAATAGGCTAGTTTTTATAGAAAGCGAAAAAATTGGCTAATAAAAAGCTATTGAAAAAGATTAATAATCTTTTTAATTATAAAGATTGGTGATATAAAAATTATTATACTTAATAATATCTAACACACTCTAATGCAATAGCCTTTCAAAATTGATGGTATTTTGGTACTTTTATTAAAAATCATATGGTGTTTGATGAAGTTCATGAGTATTTTTTATCCTTAACTTGTTTTTGGATTAATTAGGGGTATTTTGATACTTTCACTAAAAAAAATCATGGGTCCCATTGCTAAAAAAGGGACATTTCTTAATTTTGATATCATTGGCATTATTGAACTCTTTTTAAATTTGAATTAGTCAATTTCAACCCAAAGAAAATTCATGATATTGGGTGAAGTTTTAGTATATTTTTATAAATATTTTTGACCCTTAACCCTAAAAAATACAAACACTATGGAAACTAGTTTTTCTCTTCACACGGATTTATATTTATCAAATTGTTTTCTTTTTAAAACTTTGTACGTGTATAATCTGTGAGAATAGATTACTGTAATAATCGTAATAGATAGTAGAGATTTTTTCCCCTTCTTTTTTGAAAAATCAAAGAAGAATAAGAAAAGAATATCATTGTTAATGTCTTCGTCAATATTAAAGTCTTGTATAGTAAAAATAGACAAGAGATTGCTAAACGTGAGATGAACGCCACAACACATGTAGAGGTCCTATGAAAATCCAAAAAAAGCAAACTCCTTATTAAAGACGTGGAAGGCGGGCACACATTAGAGTCAAAAGTCTTTGGAGAACATCCAAATTAAGACAATAGACATAAAGTAACGTGTGAGAAGGGCATAATAAAATACAAAACTGGTCTATTGGGTCCCACATAATAGGAATTGGAATACAATAAACTCTCAAATATGCTAAATAGATTCACATGAAGTGGATGACAATTAATTAGAAATGCCTAAATTTTTTCTAATTAACTGTCTTGGAAAAAACTACCACCCTCCATGAACTTCTACCAAATGGTCAAGCTTAGCCTTAACATTTCTTTCTCTAGTGGCCTAAAGGGTATCTGCAGCTCCAGAGTGATCAAACACAAAGTTTGAACATTTTTAAAATAATAGCGTTGTGGTCTAACGGCATATGAAAAATCTTTTCTAAAAGAAAGGTCACAGGTTTGATATCCCCTGTAATATAATCCTAGGCCTTTAGTACCTACTCAGCTGCCCTTTTCATTGAAAAAAACAAGCTTGAACATCTTTAGATATTTTTTTATGTAAGATTATGGGTTGAAAGTTTAAAGATTCAAACTAAAATTATGCTAACTCTTGATTTTTTTTGTTTATAGTAATGCTTAAATTTGTATTAGTAGTTGGAGATTAGGGATTTCGATGTCCTGTTGTGGGATTTGTGTGCAGTGTTCAAGCGTCCCCAACCAAAAAAGAAGAAAAGAAGAAGAAGATAAATGTACTATATAACTAAAAGAATATAAAAATATCATAAAAATGTAGAACGGAAACTCATGCCCGAAAACGTCAACTTTTTTCACCCTTAACTTTTTTTTCGTTTTAATTAGGGGTATTTTGTTACTTTCACTAAAAAAAATCATGGGTCCCATTGCTAAAAAAGGGACATTTGTTAATTTTGATAGCATGGGCATTATTGAGCTCTTTTTAAATTTGAATTAGTCAATTTGAACCCAAAGAATATTCACGATGTTGGGTGAAGTTTAGTATAATTTCATATATATATATATATATATTTGACCCTTGACCTTAAAAAATACTACGTCCGGTTCTTAATAAAAAATCTTGTTTGACTTTTATTTTGGTCCTAAATATAAGACCCCAATCCATTTTGTCTATCATATTTATACATTTTTTAAGGTAGTTTTTCTAATAATAACAGTTCTAGCCAATACATTTGATTAGTAAGGATATTTTAGAAAGACAACATATATTTATTACAAATAACTAACTTAACTTATTTTTTTAATCTCCTCAAATTAGTCAACTAACTTTTATAATTAGGACCGGAGGTAATATAAACACTATGGAAACCAGTTTTTCTCTTCACATGGATTTCATCTATTTATCAAATTGTTTTTTTTTTTAAACTTTGTAGTTTGTACGTATATAATCTGTGAAAATAGATGACGGTAATAATTGTAATAGATAATAAAGTTTTTTCCCCCTTCTTTTTTGAAAAATCAAAGAAGAATAAAAAAAGAATATCATTTTAATGGTCTTTGTCAATATTAAAGTCTTGCACGGTAAAAATAGACAAGAGATTGCTAAACATGAGATGAATGCCACAACACATATAAAGGTCCTATAAAAATCCGAAAAAAGCAAACTCATTATTAAAGACGTGTAAGATGAGCACACATTCTGAGTCAAAAGTCTTTGGAGAACGTCCAAATTAAGGCAGTGGATATAAACGTAACGTGTGAGAAGGGCATAATAAAATACAAAACTAGTCTATTGGATCCCACATAGTTAGAATTGGAATAAAATAAACTCTCAAATATGCTAAATAGATTCACATGAAGAGAATGACAATTAACTAGAAATGCCTAAACTTTTTCTAATTAATTGTTTTGGAAAATACTACCACCCTTCATGAACTTCCACCAAATGGTCAAGCTTAGCCTTAACAATTCTATCTCTGGTGGCCTATATGGTATTTGCAGCTCCAGGTTGATCAAACACAAGGTTTGAACATTTTTAAAATAATAGCGTTGTGGTCTAACGGCATATGAGAAATCTTTTCTAAAAGAAAGGTCACAGGTTTGATATCCCCTGTAATATAATCCCATGCCTTTAGTACCTACTCAGCTGCCCTTTTCATTTAAAAAAACAAGCTTGAACATCTTTAAATATTTTTTTTATGTAAGGTTATGTGTTGAAAGTTTAAAGATGCAAACTAAAATTATGCTAACTCCTGATTTTTTGTTTATAGTAATGCTTAAATTTGTATTAGTAGTTGGAGATTAGGGATTTCGATGTCCTGTTGTGGATTCTGTGTGCAGTGCTCAAGTGTCCCCAACCAGAAAAGAAGAAGATAATAAATGTACTATATAACTAAAAGAATATAAAAATATCATAAAAATGTAGAAGGGAAACCCATGCCCGAAAACATCAACTTTTTACATCTAAAAATTCAAAAGTCTACAACTACTATTTTTATGGTCTAGTCTTAAAACCATTCCAAACGCGTTTTTTTTTTTATAAGTAGATTTTACGAGTATGACAGTTTTTTAACTTAATTATGTGCAACTATATAGAATTATTATTCAGGTTTTATTCCATAATCCGTCATTGTAAAATAATAAAGTGATAAGAAGAATATTTTTTACAAAAAAAAATATTAAATAATACCAACAACCTAGTTAAGCGTTAACACATTCTCTTAATTTGCGTAAGAAGCAAGTTAAAACAAAGATTAAAAGGAAATAAAATCTAGCTATATCAAGAAAATAATCTAAACTACAGTAAATGTTAGGAGGGATTGGAAGAGATGACTTCAATTATCATAGCCTCAATTGGATAAGTGATAATAAATTGAGAGAATTGTTGTGAAGTCCCAAGTGAAAAATATAATTACTAGTATAGCATGCAATAATAACTTTCAGAGTAATAAATGATAACTACTCATTTGTCACAGGGACTAATTGATAATTATCTTCTTTTTTTTTTGGATCTTATCATAATTCTCTCTAATAAATTCTCACAAAAATAATGACAAAAATGACATCAACAGTCATCAATGAGAAAAATGCCAGAGACAAATCAGTATGTAATAATGATAAGCTCGGACGTATAAAAAAATATGACATATTAACTAATCAAGAAATTTTTTAATAATTAAATTATTTACGTAGGACTGTACCATAATTTTCCCAAAATATAACGTGTGGAATGGGCACAATTGAATACAAAGTTAGTCCATTGATCTAGAGCTGGAAAAGCGGGCTAGCAGTGTTGATATAGCCCAGCCTGCGGTGGTGTAGGCTGAAAGTAACTGCGCTCCCCAAGCCTACCAGCTACCAGCTCCCTTATTTTTTTTATTTTTTTAAAAAAATGCTAAATTATTTCCACACACTAGTAAATGATCTATATATCCGTCTCCTTATCTCTGCAATATATAGCCATATATTTAAAAACTGATAGGTGTGAGCGAGTTTAAAAAAATAAAGTTCCAAACGTAAGCCTAATATGCCACTATTTATTATTTTTTTATGCAATATTGATTAATTTTTAGATAAAAAGCTCGTATCATTGCCTTCTAATAAGGCTTCATTTGCTTCCTTTATCCGCATATAAGTCTTAGGTAATGGATCTTGTAACCTCTTGATTCTTTCTCTTGTTATTTGGCGCTTTGATGTTAAATCCTCCACTTCAGATATTTCTATTAGAAATGGTAACAACGCCTAAAATAGGAACCTAGTGAATTGGGCGCCTAGAAAATTTTCGCTACTTTTTGAAACTATTTCTACAGCAGCACTATAAGATACATTTGAGTCATCTTTATTATAAAACTTGTTTTCTAGAAAGATAAATCAATTTTCTAAGCTTAATGATTATTCAGGAAAATGTTTCCAAGTGGAAGGGTAGAGTGTTAGATAAGAAGCAATTCAAGTTCAGTTTTAACATATATTGAAGCTACTCTTTATTATAGGAGTGTAAGGAGCGGGTAATTTTGATAATTGCTTTTACTTTAAAACCACATGCTATATACTTTAGTTATAACATGTAATAAATTAAATATCACTTGGATATATAATGAATGAATTATTGTAAACAACATCTGCCCGGTTCTATGGGTTTACCGAAATCAGTCACCTTACAGGCATTTTCCTCACAAGACAATAATCTTTGGCATTTGTCTGTGATCGTAACATCTTGAAAGAGCCAATAGTGACTGTGAAAAAAGATAATTAATCCACCATTCCTCACATGCCATCTGCTTCCTTGGTCATTAAGCAGATTCACTCGGCTCCACAATACTGCCTCCAGTCCTAAGTATAAGAGTTAGTTGACTAATTTGAGGAGATTAACGAAAGAAGTTAAGTTAGTTATTTGTAATAAATAAGCATTGTCTTTCTTAAAATATCATTGCTAATCAAGTGTATTGGCTAGAACTACCATTGCTAGAAGGACTGTCTTGGAAAAGAAAAGTATAAATATGAGAGACAAAGTGGATTGATGTCTTATATTTAAGGCCAAAATAAAAGTCAAACAAGATCTTATATTAAGGACTAAAGGTAGTATATCTCTTTTCACTAACAAATTAATCTCCACAATATATTTAGAGTCCCCCTGCTGAGCATTAGGCAGATGCACTTGGTTCCTAATCATATACTACCTCTGATCCTTAATCTAAAAGCTAGTTGACTAATTTGAGTAAATTAAAAAAATTATTTATGTTAGTTATTTGGAATGAATAAATATTTTTTTTCTAAAATGTCCTTACTAATCAAGAGTATTGGATAGAACTATTATTATTACAAGGATTGCTTTAGAAAAAAATAGATAAACATAAGAGATAAAGTGGATTGATGTCTTATATTTAAGATTAAAATAAAAGTCAAACGGGTTTTATATCAAATACAGGAGGCAATACTTATGATGCAATACCTTATTATTAGCCCACTGTGCATTGGAGCCAACCACTAGTTTCACCAAGCCAAGTTAGCTCCAAAAGCCCAGTTGACTGAAGCTAATCTCTTAAATCCTGAGCCAGCTCCATAATTATGTGGAAGAGTATTAATTCTCCCCCTTCCAATCGGATGAAAGCCATGCTGGAGATGATTCTTCCCCAAATGAAATTTTCGCTGAATTCTTTCTATTTCATAGCAAATGTTCATCGGTAGCTTAGCAACTTGCATAGGATATATTGGAACTGTACTTAAAAACGACTTGGCAAGTGTAATTGTTCCGGTAGTTATGAGGCAATTCGCTTTCCAAGCATCAAGTTTAGATTTGACTCTGTCCACTATATATTAAAAGGTCTCTGTAGGACTTCTATTTCTAGAGAGGGAAGCCCAAGTATGTCTACCAATCTCCTCTGTAATCTTCATGCCAGTCAGCAAGCTAATTTTCCTCCTTAGAGCCTCGGGAACTCCAAGAGAGAAGAAAATGTGATAACCTGTTCATACACAAGACAAACAAGTAGGGTGGCTCCTTGGGAGAGTCCCCTCTTTGGAACAAAATAATTAGTAAGATGCCCATCCAAAGAACATTATAAGAGGGGGTGGAAACACACTGCATGATGGGATTTATGAAATTACTCTCCATTCTTGCCTCCGAGAGCACCTTCAGTAAGAAACTCCATTTGATTCTGTCATAGACCTTCTAGAGATTAATCTCTTAAGGACATAAAACCTCTCCTGCCTCTCGCTTACCTCTCCTGCCTCTCGCTTACCTCGTAGTATGCATTAAGGAATTAATGCAGTAAATTTTTATTATTTCGTGTTTTTATTTGGGAAAAATTTGAGTTTGTCTTTCCTCTATCCCGGTGTTTGGATCAATGAATGCCTACTGAGAGAAAGCCAAACCATATTTTAAAAAAAAAACATTTTGCTTTTTAAACCAAATAGAGCCGAGTTCATCGTATGGTTGGTAATTTTTTAATTTTTAAAAATAATATTAATTTTCAAAAAAATAAAAACCTTTACTGATAAATTAAGAATTCCTGTTTTGGCCTAATTTGATTTTGATCAAGAATTGAGTTTGAAAATAAATTTGAGTTCTTTTATAACAAAAAAAAAGCATTAAATTAAAGTTAAAATAATAAAGCTCTTCAATTCTTATGACAGAAGGATTCAATAAAATTAAAAATAAAAAAGCTTGAGTGTTTCACTGGGGGAAAAAACCTTCAATGACAGTTGTTGCAACAAATTTTGAGTTGATGACATATGTCTATTTGTCATTTTAATTAAGCACCAACCTAAACATGTTATGATTCTTAGTTGTCTATTATTTATCATTTCAATTAAGCACCGATCTAAATGTGTTGTGATTCTTTCTCTAATGAGCTAATATCTAACGATCATAAGATCTCACTCTCAATACCCAGTGGTTATAAGATTATCCTATTAAAGTTGGTAATAAGTGGGTTTTGCCAACCCACCAAGGTGTGGGCTATTTAAGCCCACACCGCTTTGAGCCTGCGGCAGCTTGCGGGGCTGGCGGGTTAGCCCCTCCCCCTCTTTTTTGGGTAAAATTAATTTTTGGGTAAAATTAATTTTTATACATGGTTTCACTTAAATATGCACTATGTAGCATATAGTCCAAGTCCAACTTTAATATTTCAGATTTTAAAGCCCAACTCTCATTTCCCCACCAACAATAATATAAAATAATAAAATTATAATCATAAAATTGAAAAAAAATAAAGACTAAAATTTTAATAATAAGAGAGAGAATTAATGCACGTCTTCTTCTCAACATGTTATTTTTATTTAATGCCATAGTTTTAGTTTACACTGTGACTTTATCCTCATAGCATTATGATAATGTAAATGTGTGTAAGATTTTTCTCCCAGTAACACGGTTTAATCTTGTACCTTGCATGTCGCACCTATATTAGTGCACTAATATGTACAATTAGCATTGACATAAAAAACTCAATACTACATCAAATAAAAAAATTAATACTACAGCCAGTACTATTTATAACATTTATTTAGATAATTTACATGAAATAAAGAAATATTTAAATTTTTTTCTATTCAAATGACAAGCTTATATTCAATAATAAATTTACTTATTGTTAAACAATTATTAACTTATGCTTAAAAAATCAAGTTTGATCCTCTTAGCTCTTGGTCATTGCTTCAATTATGTAACAACAAAATTTTCCTTAAAAAAATTAATTTAGGAGGGCTGACATTTTGCGAGCCCACCAAAGTGCTCGAATTTGAGTTGGAATGATACCGGTTAAAGAGCCAGTCATTTGAGTTACAAATGTGTCGAACATTATGTCTTATCAAATAAAAAATTAAGCGTTAATCTACTCTATCAAGTTATAGACGCAAATACAAATCTAAATTGAGTACATTTGAAATTTGTGAAAGTAGAAGGTACATAGCTCACCAATAATATTGTTATAAGACAAGTTTATATAAGTAAGATTTTGAAGAGTTCCGATTTGAATTGGAATAGTACCTATTAAAGCCAGTCATTTCGAGTTGCAAATGTGTTGTAGATTATTTCTTATCAAGTTTAATATACTCTATTAAGCAAGAAACAAAGAACCAGATCGGACACCAAATCGGTTGAGATAGTGGTTTAAGGATCAATAGGTTAGACCGAGATCAACTTAGGGTGAAATTGGTTATATTAAAAATAATATAATTCAATTGAAAATAACAAAATACAACAACGCTAATAATTACTAACAACAAAATATAAGGAAATACAACAATAGTTTGATTGCAACAACACCAAAATATAACTACATTGAGAATTTTGATCTTTACGATTTCTCAATAACTAAAATTAATAGCCATTAATACCAAAATTATCATTAAAATTCATCGAAATCTATAATAACTGAGATATTAAAAGCTAAATGACAAAAAAAAAGACTAATAGTAACATAATAATCCAAACTGGTTCATCACTGGTTTTCACTGGTTTTCATCGGTTCATCCCCCTCTTTGACCATGTTTATACTAGTTCAATTTCTGGCCAATTTATTACTTAAACCAAACCAGATCACTAGTCAGTTCATTGATTTACCGGTTGAATTGGCCGGCTTGGTCTGGTTTTTTCACTACTATTAAGTTATAGACATAAATATAAATCGAAATTGAGCAAATTTGCAAGATGAGAATATAATGAAAAGTGCATAACTCACTAACAATATTTTCGTTAGACAAGTCAAAACCAATACGATTATGAAGAGGTCCAATTTGAGTTGGAATGGCACCCATCAAATCCAATCATCCAAGTTGCAAATGTGTTGTAATTAATTTCTTATCAAATAAAGAAATTTTAGAACAATCGTGGGTCTCCTTTTTTTTATTTTACAGTATTTCTGCATTGACATTAAAAATGTAGTGTGTAAAAGAGCTAGAAACTTCATTGTAATATTGCCACTAAGAAAATTGTATTGCAAGCTGAGGTATTGCAACTTCAATTTCCTAGTTTTCTAGGATCCTATTTGAATTAGAACGATACCTATCAATATAATCCTTATTTCTCTAAGATCCAATTCTGTAAGATTGGTAAGTGCAATGAAGTTAAGATCTGCTAGCTGAGGTTTC